TGTTCAGAAAATTCCTGACTGACGGGTTCAGACTCAATTTCTGAGGGAGGTTGAAACTACAATTAGATTAGGTATTAAGCCCTGGTTTACCGACTTGGGGATTTAACTCAAGAGAGGCTATTTTGTGGGCGCCTGGGTGGCTCAGTGGGTTAAAGCCTCTGCCTTCGGCTCAGGTCATGGTCCCAGGGTCCTGGGATCGAGCCCCATATCGGGCTCTCTGCTCAGCGGGGAGCCTGATTCCTCCTCTCTCTCTGCCTGCCACTCTGCCTACTTGTTCTGTCTGTCAAAAAAATAAAATCTTAAAAAAAAAAAAAAAGAGAGAGGCTATTTTGAGTCTGTGGTTTTCCTTTTAATCTATGGAATTGTGTCCAACAATTTATTAAGTGGGGGGAAAAAAAGAAAACAGGTTGTAAAACTGAATGTGCATTATGACTACTTGTAAATTTTAAGAAATAAAATTAAATATATGTATACACATATTTGATATATATACATATACCTAACACACACATACAATATACATAGAAAAGACTGGATATTTATACACAGCAAAATGTTAACATTTGGTGATTATCTCAAGAGATTTTTGGATTTTTTTTATGATTTATCTAAACTTTCTAAGTTTTCCAAATGAATATCTGTCACTTATTAAAGTTTTTTGGGGTGCCTGGGTGGCTCAGTTGGTTAAGAGTCTGCCTTTGGCTTGGGTCATAATCCCAGGGTCTTGGGATCCATTCCCACATTGGGCTCCTTGCTCAGCGGGGGGCCTGCTTCTCCTGCCTCTGTCCCTCTCCCCACTTGTCTGTGTGTGCGCGTGCATGCCCTCTTTCTCTCAAGTAAATATATAAAATCCTTTTGAAGATTTAAATTTTTAAAGATTTTTTTTAAAAAAGATTTTATTTATTTATTTATTAGACAGCGAGAGGGAGAGAGCACAAGCAGGGGGAGCAGCAAGGGGAGAGGGAGAAGCAGGCTCTCCATTGAGCAGGGAACAGCTACGGGGTTTAATCACGGGACCCTGGGATCACGACCTGAGCCAAAGGCAGACTTTTACTGACTGAGGCACCCAAGCGCCCCTATTTATTTATTTAGAGAGCACCCGTAGGGGTAGAGGCAGAGGGAGAATGAGAGAGAGACAGAGACAGAGACAGAGAATGAATCCTCAGCAGGCTCCAAGCTCAGCACAAAGCCTGATATGGGCCAGATTTCATGAAGCTGAGATCATGACCTGATCTGAAATCAAGAGTCAGAGGTTTAACTAACTGAGCCACTCAGGTGCCCCAAATATTTGTCACTTATAAGAAAAAGAACAAAGTCATTGGGTAGCATATAATGGAACTTACAGAATCTTAAAGTCACATGGGTGAAAAGCATAAATAAGTTCAAAGAATGAAATTAAATGAAATAAATTTATGGCTAATGACTCCATTGGAAGTAAGAAATGTTCACAGACTGCCTCAAATGTGGCTGAAGTAGCTATGGTAGGTAGCTATCATAGACAGCTACTTCATAGGTATCATAGGTGCAGCAACCCCCTTTTATAAAACCTCATGAACAGTGCAGAGGGAGAAAAGAGGAATTGAGACAAGAAAGGGACACAGAAATTGCTGTCACTGTCAAAGACTGGAAAAGAGACTAAATGAATTATCACTCTGACCCAACAGGACATTTCTGATGGTCTTGTTTTAAAGTACTCCACTCACTCACTTATCTGATCCTGATTGTGCACAAGGCAATAAAACAATGGAACACCACCTAAGAACCTAAGACTGTATTTGACATCTTCTAAGATATTCCATTTTTTCTATTTATTTGTACCAAACAACTCTGAGATGGGCCATCCTTGTTTTCATTTTCCTCCTTACAGCATCTGTCTATAATTGTTGTGCTTATCTTTATCATCTTACTCAAAATGCACTCTGGTTACCAGTGATTTTTCCTTGGGTAAATACTGTGGCTTTACAAAAATGTTTCCAATTCATCTTGACCTATCTATGAACATAGACGTAATCACTAAGGCGTGATTGCCCCAATCTCCATTCTACTCCTTTTTCTAATTCCTTTGGTTACAGGTTGGGGTTCTAGTTCTTTTTTTTGCTATGAAGACCAGTGTGATCTTGGACAAGCCTCTTGTGTCCTAGTGGACACAACTGATATGTGTGAAGCCACTCTGTACATTGCAAAGCATTTCAAAATATGATAATTAAAGCAGATGATCTCTAAGTTTCCCTCAAGGTCTAAAATTTTTAGTCTATATTTTTGGTTATATTTTTAGTGAATTCATGTGATCCAAGAATTGCATTTTGGCACATTTTAGAAGACTCCTTCCATTACACCAAAGCTGCTGCTGATTCAGTAAGTACAGAATGATTTGTACCTTTAATAGTAACACCAAAAACAGGTAATTCTTCAATTGCTGAAGTTGAAAATTACCAGAAATGATGCATGATTTTAAGGAAAAGGCTGAGTTATAGTCTGTGCCTAAAAGCTTTATTTTCTATGTTAACCACCCTTCAACTTTTGCCCTTCTAAAATCTGACAAATTTAAATCTTTTTTTTTTTTTTTGACAAATTTTAAATCTTAACATGGAGGCAACTGAAATCACATTTGAAAAGGGTATGACTACTCATACAGCATTTTGGAGCATTTTGCTGGATATTGTCAGTGTTGGAATAGTGACTACACCAGGCAGGAAACAAATGAGGAGGCTCACAACATATATACGTAGAATCATCAACAAATCTCAGAGGTGGAAGGGCTTCTAAAAGTCATTTAGACTGGTGGGTCCCAGAGGGTTTGATTTCAAAAGCTTATAAAAGTTCAAAACAAACAGCAACAACAAAAAAGAAGGGCAAACATAAAAATGTCAGTTTTTAATTTGACAAATAAGTATACCAACAAAAGAATAAAATAACCATCTATCATCAGCGCCATTTTATAAAAATGGTCGCTTAAATGATATGTGTAGGATAAACTCTCAGAATAAAGTACGATTTGAAATTAAATAAATGAAGGTGCACCTGGGTAGCTCAGTCCTTAAAGCATCTGCCTTCTGCTGGTCATGATGCTGGGATTGAGTCCCAGGTCCAGCTCCCTGCTCACTGGAGAGCCTGCTTCTCCCTCTGCCCCCCACCCCTTGTGCGCTCAATCAATCTCTCTCTCTCTCTCTCTCTGTCCCTGTCAAATAAATAAAATCTAAAAAAAAAAAAGAAGAAGAAGAAGAAGAAGAAGAAGAAGAAGAAAAAATGCATTATACAGCTCATAGTTTTCCAATATCTTTATGGAAAACTGTTAGACTTGACCCTCTCTGTACACATACCTTTGGGAATCCCTAATCTAGTGCATTCTATGCACACCTCCACCCCCCCACCCCATCCTATCTCCCACAATGGAGCAACTGTATCCTCACTACACCAAAAAAATCCCTTTAAAGGTATACCCCACCCAGTGTGGGGAACTCCTCAGGCTTTGTAGTCCATTAAATTTTGGAGTCTGTGGTAGAAAATCAGCATAAGAGCTGCTATCCCTGGGAACTTCAAGATGCTTACACTGGGTTTTTGTTTTTTTTTTAAGACCAGACTCTTAACAGCAGAGATTTTTAAGTAGGCCAAACGTGCCTTAGAGTCACTAAACAAAAATGTCTAACAGTGCTGATTTGGGAGTCAGGAAGCCTGGGTTTTGGTAGTGCATCAAAACTCCATTCTAAACCTTAGGGGATCTGTTTTCACATTCAACACATTTGGATTAGAGCTTTATGAATTAGAAGTATTTAAATCGGCATTAGAGTAACATGGAGGAATTTCAGTTATCTCTCAGGATGAACTCCACTAATTATTCGATAGCTTTCAAAGCTGCAGTTAAGTCTACATTTTTTCCACTTCCATTTTAATGAAATTATTTTGAGAGATTCCGTTTAAATTTTTACAACCGAGGTTTGATTCATTCACCCGGGGTTTGATTCATATTACAGACGACAGCATCAACTACAAAGCTTTCTTTTGTTATCATTACTACCAGGCCATTTCTTCAGGTCAAATTTTGTAAACCAAAATGTGGTCAAGATTTGATTTTTTAATCGATTTTTAGTAAAAAAAAGAAAAAAAAATTACTGTATAAAGGTTAACAATAACTTTTAACGTTTACTGCTTCAAACGTTATCAATTTTATTTTGTAACGGTTCTTTCCATCCTGTTTTTTGTATCAGTACTGCAGTTTTCAACATGACCAAGATATGATTATTTATAGAGGTTTCTTTGGGAGGGTTGGGGCGGGTGGGAATAATTTCTACTATGGCTTTTTCAGGGTTGTAAATTTTATTCTGTTGAGACATCTGCTACTAAAATAATGAATCGGGCATTAGGGTTTTTTTCCCCTTTGGGGACCAAATTTATCAGTGGAGCAACAACACAAAGGCATAGGATAATTCCTGCTTTCCCTCTTTTCCCTTTCGGTAAAACGATTCTCCAACACTCTGTGGAGAGCAGAATCCTAATGCTTAAGACTTCATCAACCGCTCTCCGCTAAAACCGGGAGCCAAGACTAAACCGAGCCCGGCCAGGGATGCTTTTCTCTTCCTCTCCACCAGAGGCGACAGCCTCTCGCAAAACAGAATTGGGCTGGAACAGGCTGGTCTGAGGGAGTGGCCCAGAAAAAGATCAAAGGTTAAAAATCGCCTTAAACAAAGAGCAAAGGGCAAAACTCCCAAGGAAGCCAGAAGTTCCCATCCTCCACGAAGAATGAAGGTGACTCCTCCCTAACATGCTCTCGGGGCCCTAGGACGCGCAGCCTTTCAGAGACCAGGCGGGTCGGACGTGACTAACAGGTAGCTGAATCCGAAGAGCCAACAACCGGAAGTGGAAGTGAGCCCCCGGGCGGGGGTGAGGAGAGGCCACCTCACGCCTGCGCAATCAGCAGGTTTGCAGTACGCATGCGTGGTTGGGCGGTGACGGGATGACGCTTGGAGCGTGGGCCGTGACTCTCACGGATCCGGTTCCGCCCTCCCTCTCGTTGCCGACCCTCCGGGGCTAGCGCCCGAGATCCCTTTCCCAGAGTGCTTTGCGCCGTGAAGAAGCGGCTCCCGGGGACTAGGGGCATTTTGTGTTGGCTGGAGCCGGAGTAACAAGATGGCGGCGTCGGCGGAGTGACAGGGGTCCCTCCGGGCGGGAGCCGGCGGCAGTGGTGGCAGCGGTATCGCCGCCCTAAACCACCGCGCCCCTTTTCCAGCCCGCGACGTCGCCGTGAAAGCGAGCCAGCGGCGGCCGCCCAGAAACAAGTGGCCCAGGCTGGTAACCGCGAGAACCCCCTCAACAAACTGCGGCCTGGCGAAAAGAAGCCTGAGTGAGCGGCGGCGATCAGGTTCCCCTCGGCCAATTCTGGGCCCTGTAACGCCTTGAAAGAGCCAACGTTTTCCGTTTCCTGCCGCCCTCCTCCGCAGCCTTGTTCCGCGGACGAGCCCCAGAGGCCTCCGTCCCCCCCTCAGAGGTGTCGGGGCTTGGCCCCAGCCTCCATCTTCATCTCTCAGGATGGCGAGCAGCAGTGGCTCCAAGGCCGAATTCATTGTCGGAGGGAAATATAAACTGGTACGGAAGATCGGGTCTGGCTCCTTCGGGGACATTTACCTGGCGATCAACATTACCAACGGCGAGGTAATTACCCGGGGTGGGGTTCACGACCACGCTGCGCCAGTCCTCACCCCCCCACCCCAACCCCCGAAGTGCTCGGGCTTTTCCCCATCACACGCACGTACTGGGGAGGGGAGTCCAGAGAGAGGGAGCCAGTTTTCTTGGCTTTAGGAGCCTCCCCCGCTCTCTTTCCCTAAAAGGCAAAAGAACCCGACAGAAGGGTTGGGAGAACCCATGAAGTTTCACAGCTTGTTAAAAATGGACCTTAGTCGAACTTTTTAAGCTGTCGTTTAAGGTGAGATCGGCAGAATCGTATTTCTCTAATCCCCATGTTTCCCCACTGTATGGATTTATTTCATTGGGGTTCTTGATTTCGATCGTCAGTTTCCTTCAAAACCTCTCATTACGTTTTTTGGATGAATCATTTTTTTGCACCTTGGAGGACGTGCCGATTTCGTCACTACCCCCTGAAGAGGCCTTTGAGGCTAGTTGCCTCGTTTTATAATTACAAGGAGAGTTTTCTCTTCTGAGCCTCTTATTTCTCCTCCTAGTCTCGAGTTTGAGCTTTGCTAATGTCTCCCCTCCTCCCAAGTGACATTGAATCATTGAATCCTTAGGGATGTTGATGCCATCATCCCCTTTCTCCCCTGCAGGAAGTGGCAGTGAAGCTAGAATCTCAGAAGGCCAGGCATCCCCAGTTGCTGTACGAGAGCAAACTCTATAAGATTCTTCAAGGTGGGGTGGGCATTCCCCACATACGGTAAGAACTCGTGAGCACACAGGCGGTGCACCGAGGGAAGTACGGCATGGGGGTAATGGGTAGAGGCAAGCAATAGCACCAGCTGAATCCGGGCCTTGTTATCTGAGTTCCCTGGGTTTACTAGCGCTGGTGGTTTCCTGAGAACCGAAAGACACCACAGTCACTGAGTCAATTTTTAGTTTGGCAACTTCGTTTAGAATTTCAGTTGGTTACACTCTGCTCCATGTAGCTTCCGTCATTCTTCTCGAGGCTTTCATTTGCAGTTAAGTATGCGGGTCATCTTTGATCTCTACGCGGCAGGGTTGTCTGCTGCTTTCTTTACACCGGCACCTCTGATGTTCTTAGGTTTATCCAGTGAAGTGGATTTGAAGGTGCCAAGTGACCGGGTTCGGCCAGTTCTGGTTGCTATTGGAGCTGGCTTGGGAAATGGCTGCTCTTTTGTTGTGTTTTTGTTCCAACATGTCTTCCTCCTCCGCTTAGAAAATGGCGGAACGACGTGACTCAACCGCATATTCCTGCCCTTTTCTAGGCTTGGGTTCACAAGTTACTCTTCCTTGATTGGCCCTTTAGCTGCTCTGAGTGGATTAAACCTTTGAAAAGCCAAGAATAAAGGTTCGGGCGGCGGTGGGGTTCAAGGAAAGAGATGGCATAATGACAGTCTGTTTGTGATCTCTGCAGCAGATGCGACGTGAAATTGTTAAATTATACTATGCAGAATCCGTCATAGTCCATTTAAAAGTGTTAATTATTTTTTCTTGAAGGGTAATGTTGGCTGCATTTCAGCTTGTGTACTAAATTTTTGTGAGTAATGGCAGAGGCAGTTTGACTACTACTGTGTTGAAATTGACTCAAATCTGATGTGTTAAAAAGATTAATCACGTAACCACAGTGTGATAAGTAACTTTAACCTGTTGAGTTACTTGTTCAGTAACTCCTCACCTCGGGGAAATTGTGGCCTTTGGGGGGGATGGGATATTGGTGAAGGCAAACAGCAGTAGTAATCAGGATAAAAGATGACCACAAAAACATAGTGGTTCGTTAAATGGTTAACTTTAAAGATTGTTAGTTTGACTTTGAGATTAGAAAGCATCTTCCTTGAATAGGGACTAAAATGTACTGTAAAGCCAAGCAGTTTTTCAACACACAAAAATAACATTTGTAAAAAAGTACCAGAGACAGTTAAGAATTAAGTGGAGCAATAGTTATTGTAATCTCTTTATCTGCTCGACTTTGTTTCTAAATCTTGAGTTAAGGACTAAATTGCATATATTAATTCAGATGTGGAAACAACCAGAGTACAGTGCTGATAGATATTTTTAATGGAGAAGTTGAATGATAAAATATTCTATTGGTTGTGAGAAATTATTTAGAAGAAACTTCCAGGTTTATTTTGTAAGGTAAATTAATGTGAAATCCAAGATGATGGGAGATTTTAAATGATTCCTATCCCTCCATCCCACCCCCCAAAAAGCTGCTGGGAAAAATGAATGTCATTCTGGGAGAATGAAAAAAAATTTTAAAGAATGGAAGTCTTACTAAAATGTCTAGCTTTTTATTCCTTCAAAGGAAAAAGTCCATTGCATTAGCCAAAAAATTAAAACGTCTTTTCTTTTGCCTTTAAGCATAATCTCTCCATCCCTGGCCCTCATTGATTTGCTTTCCATCACTAGTTTTCCTAGAATTACACATAGATACAGTCATACAGTATGAGTTCATTTGTGTCTGATTTCTCTCACATAATGCTCTTGAAATTCATCCATGTTGGGAGGTTTTAGAAATTTCACAAATCATGTGGAATTTAATGTATTAGAAATAATTTTCAAAAAGCATTAAAGCATCTGGCATTTTCAGTGCTAAACCCTTTTATCTGGTAGCTTTTATTTAAAGGCAGTGCTGATACAGACCATCAAGAGCTGTAGTTAATACACTGAGTAAGCATGAATAAATGAAATTAACTTGTGAGCAAAATAATAGGCATCTATAATAAGATGTTGAGTGCAGAGAGAGTTGTAGTTATAAACTGTGGGTGGAGCTAAAGAGAGATTAACCTGGCTTTCAGAGTAATGCTTCCTGGGAGAGGAAGTGGGTTTTCAGGATCAGGCTCTAAGGAAGAAAGCTTGGTTGAACTGGTTGGGGGAGGGCAGCCAAGAATACCGTGTGGCTTCCTGGAGTAGTCTCTATTGCAAAAGGTAGTAATTGCATGAGGGTGGGGAAAGAGTAAATTTGCTTTAGGAGTGGTAGAGTATGGTACACAGAAACAGTAGTGGTTCATTGGTTGTAAAGGGTGAGAACTGTTTTTCTCCTGAAGTGAAAAGGGTAGGAAGGACTTTACATAAGCATTCTTTATTTGGCTGGCAACGTCCTCTTGTCCCCTCAGTTTGTTCTCCACTATTTCCACATCACATCTATATAGCATACAGGTAAATATTTATTTGGTAAATACTGGACTAAGTTGACTTTAGTTTATCGAGATTAAATGAAGCAGTCATGTGTTATTCATTGTTTTAGATGGATATAAATAATAAAAATTTTAAATTTGGGGTGCCTGGCTGGCTAAGTTGGTAGAGTATGTGGCTCTTGATCCTGGGGTCATGAGTTCAAGCCCTGTGTTGGGTGTAGAAATGACTTGTAAAAAAAAATTTGGATTTTGCTGCAATTACACTTAACTCCATCTTCTCCCCTGCACCCCGCAGCCCCTTGAATTTACTAAGGTACTTTGGGATATCCTAAAACAAGGGCTGAAAAATGATCTGCCCGCGGAGCCTAGCTAATCTTTACTTGGTAAGGGATCTATTGTTATGCAGAAGCATGACACTCAGTGTAAAGAGCCGAGTAAGGGTGGTGTTCAGACTCCATATTTTTAGGAAACGGAGGACATTGTTTAGTTAAGAAACTGAAATCTTCAATTGACTTCTGGAAGCTCATTAAAAATCTCTGTATTTCTGTTACAACCTTCTCTTATCTTCGTGGTGCTCATTTTGAATTGAATTCATGTGATCTCTAAAGAAGCATTTATGATAGCAAGCTCTAGATCTATCATATGGTATTGACAATGAACTTGGGTCAGTTAGTCCTTCAACAGTTCTTTGGGCCTGTCAGTTAGTTTGCTGATCTGTTAAATGCAAAAAGGATTTTACCATGTTACCAATTTTCTAATTCTTACGCAATAGAAAAGAAGGATACTCGACAGAAAGGTTTAGAGTTTCCTACTCTTCTAGAAAAAGTTTTGCATACTGAGCTTTTGGATAGGGTTTTATTTGAACAGAGTTCCCTACGTAAGTCACTGGCGTAGTTGATCTCAGAACTTCTGGCTCTGAAATTTTGAGACTTCTTTTTGGATGATAGTAGCTAGAAAGCATTTCATCACAGTTTAATGTTAGGTCTAGATCTTACTTTTAAATCTTATATTTTAGTATAGAGACCTCTCTCAAGACTCTAAAAAATGCCATCTGCATCAGATAAAGTTACCAGTTACCATTTAGAAGGAATTAAATTAATGGAATATATTTTTATAGGGAAATGAATAAAGAAGATGGGAGGGGGAATGGAAGAATTGTTGCCTTTTTGCCCTTTCAATGTCAAGTATTACAGAAGATATTTATAAAGTACTAGTTAATCCTTTTTCAGTGTTAAAAGCAGCTTAAATTTTAATACTCGCTTTTTGGCACTGAGCATATATCTTGCAGATAAGTTATAACGCTTTTATCAGAGAACAAAGATGACATCTGCACTGGATATGTATTTATTACAGATCACTGGGTCCTTGAGAAATGTGATTCTTAACTCAGTAACTGAATCCCTATAGATACACTATATGTAGTGTGTATATATATATATACACAATATATTAAAGGTGCTTTATATCGGCATGTAATGGATTTCTAGTTATTGAATAACGTAACGATGCTTAAGTAGCATTTGTGAGCTAAATGAATCCTGAATAAAGCCTAGTATCTCACAAATTAGAATTCTGTCTCTGAAGGGTTACTAGAGTCTCCTAACTGCTCATTTTCTCAGCCATTTTCTGAGCCATTTTCACCTTTTTGTCAAGGTCAGCATGCCTGCTCACATACCCCACACCTTTTTTATTTGATGCTACAGAGCCATGCTATGCCTCCTTCACTTAATGGCATTTGTCCTCATTCAGAGAAAATGAAAAACTCTTCTGTAAATGTAAGTAACTTGTTTGTATTATTATTTAATTGGATGCTTGTAAGTTTTTCAGTAAATTTGTTTTTTAAAAAGATCATTTCTTTTAGAGAGAGAGCAGCAGGGAGGGGCAGAGGGATCCCCATTAGACCCCCTGTGGAGCGGGAAGCTCAATGTGAGGCTCAGTCTCACAACCTCAAAAGCCATGACCCTAGCGGAAACCAAGAATTGGACACCTAACTGACTGAGCTACCCAGGTGCTTCCCTCTAATAGTTCTCAAAATATAAGTGAATACCTAGTTAAAATGAAGGGTTTTGTTACTGTTTTTGTTTCCAACGCAATCCGAGGTGGCTCTTGAAATTTAAATGACCGGTAATCACATAACATGGACTAATGCATGTTTTAATGCTTTTTTTAATGAGATGTAATTTATATATAGTGAAATGCATAGCTTTCATTGTGCATCAGATGAGTTTTGACAAATGTCAAATGTATACACTGGTATAGCCCACACTCCCTACTGAGATAAAGAATATTTAATTTTTTTGAATACTGCTAATCCATGGTAAACTGCATTTTGTGGTAAGATAGGGTTTTTTTTTTTTTTTAAGTTGGTCTTTTGGATCATATTACATGTTTTTTGTTTTGTTTTGTTTTGTTTTTTTCTGGATGTGATGTTGAGTTGTCCGTATGCAAGACTGTAGGTTAATGTTTCTATCTCCATGAAGTACACTCCAAGTACGCCCTACGACTTGCCTAATAAAATAATCAGGTGGGGGTGGTGAACAATGCGTGGCAGTTGAGATCTTTGCCTCATTTTCCCTTGTAGAACAGGGATACTGCCTTTTCC